GCCCACCCCGGCCCTCCCGCCTCCCTGCCCCGCCGCTGAGGGCAGGATCGAGGTCCTGCCTGCCTGCGCGCCCGGGTCGCCTGCGCTGACTGAGGAGGTGACTTGGACGCACCATTATCCTGTGAATCATCCCGTCGTCATTTGTCAAGGCTGGGAGAGAAGGAAGAGGGAGAGAGGGGGGGAAAAGCCCGCACGCAGTTCATGTGGCGGTGTAGTCCTGCCTGGTCTACCTGGCACCGCTGGTGCTGCTGCTGCCGCCGGCTGCCGCCGCTGCTGACAGGGATCTGCTGCCATCTCTGGTCTCCCGCTGGCTCCTCCGGTACAGCCCCGGCGCCGCTTGCCCCTGGATATTTCTCCTCCTCAGCCGGCCGCCTTCCCCGCTGCGCATCGGGCACCTCTTTTTCGTAGGGGACGTGGAAGGTGCTGCCTCCGAAATTGACAGTGGTTTTGCTTCTTGAAGATCTCCAGCGGGCTGTTCTTGGTGCTTTTTTTTTTTTTTTAAGTTGATTTTAAGCCATTTAGGGTAACATCAAGATGTCCAGCAGCGTTCCAGCTGATATGGTAAGTCTTATACTCCTTATTTGATAGTGTTATTATGGAATAATGTTTATTTCGGCCTGTTTTGGCAGAGAAGATGGAAAGAAGAGGGGCGTGGGAAGATTAAAAAAAAAAAAATCTCGGTTACATATTTAAGGAACAAAAAGTTCCCAGTTAATAACCCCCCCTTCCACCCCAGATGCTGGTTCTGCTTTGCTTTTTGGTAGCGGAGTGAGAAATCTGCAGCGTCGCCTCCTGTGTAGCAAGGCAAGGGGGCATGTCTGCATTCTCTTACCTATGGCAGTTAAGATCTGACTGCTCTTGCTTATTTCGTGTAGCACTGCTGTTCAGCTCTGCCAAGGATTTTTTGGGGGAAGATCAATACGAAGTAGAGCATTCAGAATGATTTACTTGAGCTACTTCTCTTTTTTTGATTTCCTAAACCAGCTGAAATTTAGTTTCAGCCTTCTTTTCTTCTCTAAAACTTCGCTTGTTTCTTACCGACGCTTTGTCTTCCGATGTTGATGGGAAGTTAATCTCTTCACTTGCCGCCGGGTCAAGAGCGAGAGAGAAATTCTCATGCGCTTATTTACATGGCGAGGTCCTTTGTGCACTAGCTGCAATCTGGACATTTTTCAAGGGCACTCCTAGTACTTCTTATGGCGGACCGTACTTCAGCCTGTGTTGGGTACTCGGCTCGGTACATTTAAAATAGGAAGGTATAGCAGGGCGTGAGGAGGGAGGGTGAATCAGGTCTGCTAGGTAATCTTTCCTTCAGCACGACTTTCCCCGTTTGTATATATTTCCATAAATCACTTAATTGGAAAAAAAAAAGTTGTCGCTGGAGTTTGATAGTTCTTTATTCTTACGGCAGAATATTTTCACGTATCTCCCCACGACTATTTACATTTAAAGGTACTGTTTTTCTAAAAGCAGCAGACTTGTCCATGCTTTTTTTTCTTTCGGGATGAAGTTCTGTTTTACGAGTAAAACCTGCCCCGGTAGTGACAACAATAAAACCGAGTAGCCCTTGTTTCATCCATCGATATACAATTAATGGTGCATATATATGACAGATGGGCTACTGAAATCCTTTAGTTGCTTACTTTCGGTGTTTCCTCCTTTGTACTGCCGTCAAAATAAGTGAATTCTGCCAAAAGAGCAGAAACAGTGAGATATAGAGGATGATCAAACACGGTTTTAAGCTCACCTTCCCCCTCCCCCTCCCCCCCCCC